GCGACAATTCCGACGATGCCATGTAGCACAGACTGCGTTATCGACATACAGACTTTCACTGGCCTGCAGGGTCTGAGCCACATTTCTGGCGGGATGGTGGTTCCGGCGAGGCACCGCTCACCGTGGTCCATCGCTTCCCTTTATCTTTCTGCTTTTCAATAAGTGCTATCGATGGGATCGTGCAAATGTGATCGGGAATGAAAGCAACAAGCACTTGAGCGATTTTTTCACGCGCATGTTTCAGGAGTTCTGACCTCTAGTGGGCGGAACTCGCTAGCCTTCGTCCCCCTGGCAAGAGAGGCGAAACCTGCGGAGCAACATTGTTGCGCGCCTGCAGGCAAAGATGCGTCGCGCACCAGCGTTCCACAAGCAACAATCTGTAAAAAGCGACAAGCACACATCTCGTACAGTCGGCAATACTCGGCCCAGCATCAATCACGAGGTGTATGCAATGATTACGCATGATGATGCTATAGTTACTTGAAAGCGAGCGCTCTTCACTCAGCACAGCTGTTCGTGGTGGGACGGTTCTTCTAACGGCTGCAGCACTGAGATCGGAACAGGAGCTGGAATAGAAGTAAGCTGGGGAAGATGTTCGGTCGTGCCCAAAAGTGAAACGCAAGGAATCCGCGTGGTCAAGAAAGGCTGCGTGTGAAACAGTCCCCCAGGAGGTGGCAAACCACGCTTCGAAGCAGACCTGGGAGTCTGAAGCGGGTGAGTGCGAAAGCGGCGTCGCTGATACGCACCGGATGTGGAGTACATGCAGGCAAACCTCGTCTTGGATATCAGTCCCAGCACCGATTCAAAGCTGGCGACATAGTGGCACTCTTCGAGAATGTGCGTGACAACTACAACCGGCTTGTATAAAGACCGATGGCACAGTCGGCCCATGACTCTTGTCAAAGGGCGGCTGACGCTGATGGTGTGTGTTTGCAATTATTTGCAAGCCCTGCTCAGAGGTCGTCCGAAGCTCCGCAGCAACTCTGGGCCGGGCTCCCTCGCATTAACGGCGCAGCAAACATACAGGCAACGTGCAGCCTCCGAGAACCCCCCTGCGGCCGAGCGCTAAGGGTTCGCATAGGCTCAATCTTGCTACTGGTAGAATCTGTTCAAGAAAGGGGTGCGACTGGAAGTTCTTCTTCGGTTGCCGGCTCCTTCGGATGGGGTCTTGGACTGCCGACTGGCTGCGAGCATGGAGTAGCTTCCATCTCTGAGCATACAGGGAAGCCAACAGCGGAGCACACCTACATTTTGTGGCAAAGGCAAGCAGCGGCATTCTGTAAATCGATCGAGACGTGGGAAGCTGCCCAAGCTGCCAGCCCTCAAGTTTACCAACATCATTTAACATCAGGCAGAAGCTATAATAGTGCTAAGCCATGCCATGTAGGAAGATCCTGACTTCATCTTTGCGCTTCGTAGATGTTCATGATTCATGAATGGCTGACTGGCAGCTGTCCACAAGGCATTTTGCCAGCTGCCGGTGGTGACACAATGGCACAGGTGTCGGGTCGCGCCTCACGACAGAGGGCTTTCATCAGCTCCGAAGTATGTCCTGGGGCGTGGAGATTCGGTCCAAAGCCGACAACATGCAACTTGGCTGTCAAAAACGCCGCGGCAGCAAGCCTCACTTGCGCAACCAAGATTCAGATAGAAAAGATCGGCCGGCAAGTTGCGACCTCGGCTGCAATCAAGAACACGCTGAGCCTAAATCCCATGTTGAAGCGCTTGTCCCTATCACGGAGCTCTCTAGAAAATAGAAATCAACGGCCAAAACTTGGTGCATCAATCGCTCGCTGACTTTCGCTTTCTCCGCAGGAAACCATCAACAAAAGGACACACACACACACACACCTGCCCGGCTCATCCGCGAACCCAAAAACTGTTGATCATCCCATCATCGCCCACGGCTTGCAGGGGGTTCTGCCGGCATTCAATCAAGCTCGGAAGTGCAGCTATCGTGGTTTGCTTAGCATGTTAAGCACCACTGAGACTCCAACGTGTGGCAAACTCCGTCCAGGATGACAGCCAGGAGCGACAGTGCCAAACAAGCGAGATCATCTCTTGCCCGTGCTGCTCCTGACGACAGCCACACCGTTCCCACCTCTTCCCCTCTTCCCCAAGTCCTAAAGCCCGCCAGTAGAAGAGAGAACGAGATGGTATCGTCTTTGTACAGTGTACTTATAGTCCTTGCAACACCCTAAAGGCCCGGAAAGCCGGAAATGCCGCCTCCACCTCGGTGGAGTCTCGACGCGTGAAGGCCAGAGAGCCCAGAGAGAGGCTGGTGTCCTCCCGTGGCCGATTGCGGCTTCGCTCGCTGCTTTATGTTCTTGAACAGCCGTGGTACATATTCTGGAACATCTATATGTCTATTTACATATGTGTATGTATATATATATATGTATGTCAGTGTAGTACATCATAATCAGTATATCATTATATAGATATATGTGTAGACCAGTATAGTACATTATATAGTTATACATGGTATATACATACATACATATATACATACATACATATATATATATTGTATCTGTTCCAACTGGCTTCACCAAAGTGGGTCCACAACCTCCTTGGGTGAGCATTGACCCCTGCAGCCAGGCTCAACATCTGCCCCGACTGCACAACCCCAACCCACCAGCGACCCAGCTGCTTCCTACAGTTCGACTTTCGAAGAGTTCAAGGGCGACCTGGCCCCCCGGGAGTCCTCTGACGGGAAACGGCCCGCCTTATCGACCTTGGGCTGCCCCACCCTCTGCCAGTGCATCTCCTCGGCTCTGTGGTTCAGGGTTCAGGGTAGGGTTTGGCATAGGGGCTTCAGCACAAGCCTAAACGCTGACGAACAAGAGCTTCTCAGGATCACATGTGTGCTTGGCATGTCAGCCAGCCCAAGCGCATCTGTTCAGCAGGTGGCCTGCTTTGCAGTTTGCACGACAACCTCTCTGAGTGCGAGCAGTCTGCCAATTCCCCCTGAAGCTTCCCGAAGATAGAATCCAGGCACCTCAGCTGCAATTTGTGGTGAACGTTTGATCCTGCTTCTTCAACGCCCAAGCAGTGCATTGCTTTTGGAACGGCAAAGAGACCCGACAACATGCGACGCGAAGAGTATGGGCAAACACCTTCGTGAACGGTGGCGACGTGGTCCGAGTTCCAGCACTTGCAAGAGAACTCCGAAGCGTTCCCGTAATCACAAATTCGAGAACAGTAAAGACTGACCAATCCTAAGCGAAAGCTCGCTGGGAAATCCTTTGGCCCTCCTACGACGCTGCTGAACCAGACAAACCTCGTGTGAGCAAGTGCGCTCCCCAATGCAGCAGGCAGCGACCTGTCCATGATGTTTTTGTCCTTCTTGGAGAACCGTAGAAGCCTTGGCCCACGTCAAATCTCGAAGTCTCGGGGCCACGATCACTCGCATTGCTTCCAGAGTCTGTCAGGGCTATCGCTCCGAACGTGAGCTGCAAGCAAGAAGCTCGAACTTGTCATTGTGCAGCGAGCTGGCCTCATCCAAGGCCGAGAATCTTCAGAGCAACTCCATCGAACCAGGAGCTCTAATTCAACGCAGAGCAACACCAGCAGAAATCACCACTGCACACATGCTGCTACCACTACATTCTGAGAATGGAAGCTCAGACAGTCCATCACTGCCTTGGCCCAAGAGCTCCAGAGCCAGACAACCAGCGCAGCTGCGACAAGCAAGGCCGAAAACCACCTCACTTGGGGCGACAAGGCATGAGGATGAACTTGCAGGGCTTGGGTAGGCCGGTTGTTGGGTGTCGAGTGGCCGGCAATCCCAGGAATGCTACTAAAGAAAACTGTCCACGTCTACAACATGCTTCTGAATTCCTGCTGTCGATTATCATCACCTGTACAATGGTGCAGTACTGCTTTTCTCTTTTTGTATCTGGTTCCTCCACCACTACTACGACCACAACTGTGACCTGCACGGCCAAAACACAGGGACGGTGAAAACTACGACGACGACGACGACGACGGCGACGAAGACGAGTACGATGGGGCGACTGCTCAGTGCTTTCGAACAAGACTAAGCCCCCTTTGCCGCTAGGGAAAAATGCAGCAGTGATGCTCGACGGCCCTCAGCGGCACAGGCGCGGTCCACCGGTCCTGGATCAAATCAAAACGATTGAATCGCGAGAACATGTGGCATTGTGCAGAATAGTGACCTATTGCGAAGTCTACAGCTGGCAACGGGGATAGATCTAGACCAACTCTGGCTCTAGACTAAAGCCAGAATCGGAGCGTCCGCTTCCCAAAACGCATCCGTGCCCATACTTCATAGCCCACACTCCTGAAAGCCGCTGAAGTCTCAGTCCTCGAAGAAGGTGCGAGCGGTGAAGTGCAGTGAGCTGCCGATTACCAGCCAGAGCCCAGCGACAATCATGCCTGGGAGGAGATGTCTGTCTTTGTGATGATTCCGGTTCCTTCTCACAACATTGGAAGGCATGAGCCCGAGCCAACATGCCATGGAAGCTGCCACCTGCCCCCGTCTCGCCACTCAGATCGACAAACCGAGAGAACGGGAGAGAGCGAGCGAGATAGAGCGAAAGCCGGCTGGCGGACAAGCCAACGCTTTGTTTTATTCTTGCAGCCGTGGCACGCATTATGAACAGCACCCGGGGGATGAACAGGCCCTGGGACCGCAGGCAAGCTGAATGGAACACCACTGCTTCTCACCACCCATACTAGCTCATAGCAGTGTGGCAGCACGAAGTCCGTCTTTGTAAATGTTGAAATATCGCTTTCCGCAAGCCCTGTAATTCTTATTCTTCGGCTCCTCGGAACATTTAACAGGGGTGTAAACGGCGGACTTACAGTATCCGTTACATCCCAGAGCCTCTCCGAGCAAGGCTGTGTCATAGACTTGTCACACACTACCCAGGCCTGGCTCTCCGGACCGCAGAGGAATCCACGATGGGAAAGAATGTGCTTGTCAATTCCTGGGCATGAGCTCCGGGCAGATGCGACAGTCGTGCAAGCGCTGCTTAGCGCCGTGGATCGGGGGATGTTCTCCTCCGGAACTTTGACCCCATCTTTCTGCTCACCTTGCAACCGAAGGACTGTACTTCATCGCGAAGAACAGGGCACCACAGGGTAGCAGCGAGGGCATGAGCACGCCGAGGTTCACGGCCTGGCGAATCACCAGCGAGCGGCGAAACAACCAATCAGCTAGGCAGGCCGACGTTCGATGAGATGTTTCAGAGACTGACCTCGAGCGCTTGATCGACAGTGAGCTGCTTAAGTGCAGGAAGATGCACAACATCTATGACTTGTCGATTCTCGGATTCTCATATCCCATGCCCTGCCCTGAATGTCAACGTTGTTCGACATTAAGCTCTGGGCGGGCCGATGAATCAACACATTCACCGATACACTTTGCCAAGCGGCTGTGGTCAGAATGGCAAGGGTGAAGGCATACCAGTATCCCCAAGCAAAGATCCACGGTTCGGGTTGCGATAGCAGCCACCGAACAACAAGCTGACTGAGATTCCTTGGGCGAGGTTCTTGCAGCGCACGGAACCACGAGCCAACTACACGAACTGAGACTCAGTAGGCTGTTGGTGTTGGTCAGGAAGGTGCAGTTCAGCAAGTAGCGCACCTTGGCCAAGGCGCTCTGGTGAACATCCGAAAGTGATGACCAGCAGTCTGCCTCCGCGGAGGGGTCACGGGTGGAAAACTGCATGCATACAGGGCAAGATGCATAGAAAAGGCCAGGCGAACTGAACATGCTTCCGTCCAGCAGCTGCAGCACCGAGATGTCCTTTTGCTCTGGGAGGGATCTATCTAGAATCTAGGCGTCCAGCTTTGAGACAGACTTTGCCTCCAAGTCCAAGCCCTTCTTCAGTCCTGTGTGTGATCTGCAAGCTTCACCTCCAGAAACTCCAGGAGAGCCGGGATACCGGTGAGGCCGAGCAATGGGATCAGAAGCTGATTCAAAACCTGAAATCTCCCCGATGGCTTGCACTTGGGCTGCTATGCGGCATACTGCGCATGCTACACAAACCTCTTCTCCACTGACATCAGCCCAAGCACGAGAAACACGTAGTTCATCAGCCTTGGCAGACGTCTTCGGTCTGAATGCCCAAAGCAAAAGATTGCAGGTCCTTCTCGGCCCTGGCATTGGAGCACGACCCGTGCACGACAAAGGAAGGACCTCAAGTGCTGGCCTTTTCTAGCCAAGCCACAGCTGGTTCACCTCCACCTGCACAGCGAAGTCCAAAACTCATGCCCTTATGTAGTGACCGTAAGAAGTGTAACATCGCGCCGAAGACTAGCTAGCTGGAGCCTTGGACAGAGTGTGGCTGCGAGTAAAGCGACCTCGTTCTCAAGCAAATCGCAGACATAGGTGACCAGCCACGTCGCTCAATCATTATATTTATATTTTTTCTTTATATATATATATATACATTTACATACATATGTATGTATATGTATATCTATAATGAGCTCTTGCTACAGGTCGGACGTCAGTGCAGGCTCGGCCAGCTGCAACCCGATACAGCAAAGAAGCTCCGACGCTTGCCGTTTGGCTTCGGGCTTAGAGTCTTTAGAGTTTAGGGTTTTGCTCAGCCGAGAGGCAAATCTCGCCGATAATCAAAGGAAGCAGCAAGGAGTTGATGAGCAAAATTATCTTGGCCAAACGACTTTGCAGAAATTCCCACGGGACTAATTAAGTTGAGGTGCGAGACCGACGACGTCCGATTTTGTCAAGGCACCATGTCTCCGATGCATCTCTGTCGACAGTGAGTCTACTGACCCACCGATGTGATGTGGAAAGAAAGACTGGTAAATTGGCAAGGCTTCGGACGTGCGGCCATGGTTGGTAGCTGCATCGACATCCAGCGCCAAACGCCACCCCTGTCCTGCATCGCCGCATCCCAAGGAACGGCATGGAAAGATGCGACGGTAGGAGAGCTCGAAAACAGCACTTAGTCGCAGCACTTAGTCGCAGTCGATGCATGAGTGAGGGGGGGCGGGAGGATGTCCGGAAGGAATACGCCAAGGCGCTGCTCCACCTCGGCACAGGGTGCTCAGCTCTGCAGAGGGGCTGCATGGATGCGAACTCGCCGGCTCCCCACTTGATTGCAGCAGAAAGTCAGCGTGACGGAGAACGTGGGAGCCTTTCCGAAGTTCCTTGGACAGGGAGTTAACATCCAGCACCGCTGTCGACACTGTCAACAGGTCTCTGGAAGGATTGCTCAGCAAGCAAGACTTTTCGAGTCTGCCGGCCGGAATGATGGTGTTCAGCTCTGAAGAGACAGACCTTTGCACGCAGCGGAGAGGAGGAAAACTGGCATCAATCAAGTGCAGCTGCCAGCCTATCATGCTTCCAAGGGGCACGGGTGTGACGACTACTAGCATGAACACCAGAAGCAGCAAGGTAGCGCTTGTCAGGCGCAGACCCCTGACATGCTTCCAGCTTCGTCCGAGAGACCGCATACATCAACCCACTGACGCAGAATATCAATCAAGAGCCTCTTGTAGTAGGGGATATGCAAATTCTCCCAAAGAACGTCGGCTGGATGGGGTGCCCGCCGACACCTGAACATGCAGCATCACTTTCAGGAGGGGAATGTGTTGCTGGGTTCGCGCGACACAAGCCCATCAGTTTTGCAGCGGCCTCAACGTAACAGAGGAGAAGGGCAGCTGGCCGAAGTTGAAATACGCGTAGGAATGGAACCTGGGTCTGAGTGAAAAAGCCACGCCGCTATAAGAGGGCCAACTCCGATTGCAGCCGGGGAGCTTCCAGCAAGACGGTATGTCTTCAAGCAAAGTCGCTTTGTACTTGCGTTCCTGCCAGGATGATTATGACAACGACGACGACGACGACGAGGAAGACGACGAAAACTACGACTTATTATTTATTATTATTAGTATTATTATTTCTATTATTACTAATGTTATTCTTATTGCTACTACTGACTACTACTCCCATCTCAAGCATCAGGCTCAAGTCAGGGAAGACTCTGGACAAGAAACTCTGTTTCGAGCCAGAGATCTGGCCCTGCCGGCCTGGAAGGTTACAAAGGCACCTCGGCACAAACGAAACGTGCAAAACTCGGAGGGGGCTTTGCAAAACCTGCGCTTCTTGACAGTGTCACTTTCGAAATTCACCATGCAGCTCTTCCCACCGCCCTGGACGCAGCTGGGCCACTGCCACTCATTCGCTTGGCAGACAGCTCCATGTCGTCCAGCTCGTGCTTCAGATCTTGTGTCTGCGCGCAACTTGGATCCGCTCCGGTGTAAACGTAGAGTATACACTTCGATGCTAAAGTATCTAAAACCCACAACAGAAAACTATCTGTGGGCTAGGGCTTAGGGCATAGAGCCTGAAAGCTTCAAGGAACGCGGAACAACATGCACCAACAAAACGGAACAGATCAAAGACAACTTGCCTTGGGATCTATTGTAGTGACAGATTCGAGGGAGGAGCAAAGGGCGCAATCGCCTGTATGAGTCCGCCACGATTAAAGTGCAGAAATCTCTGCAAAGGGCCAGGATCGCGCCTTCCGCTCAAGCCGCCGGACTTGTCTAGATAACCACCATATACGGAGACGCGGAGAGCACCTGGAACTGCCAAGCATGCAAAGCCATGTTCCAAAAAAGATTGAAGGGCAGCCACGCACGTCCACCAGAAAAGGCTGTAATCCCGAAAGTGTCATCCAGGATGCCTGGGTGATAGAACAACGAATCGAAGAGACGGCACACCCCGAACACCCTACCCAACCGACATTGGCAGACACTTGTGGAACCATGATGTCTGGTGCCGATTTAAGGCAGTCAGACTGCAGCAGCCTGAATCTACTTGTAAAGGCCACGTCGGGAATCTCAACCATCATGCTAAAGGGCCTTTACCGACCAGCTGATGACCCTTAACTCGACGGCCCGACCGGCAGAGACAGTGCTGGTGCAGCTCCGCCTGGTACCAAAGAAGAACAAAAGGGGTTTCAACTCGAGACAGAGAGCTTGAATTGGCGGAGTCCGGGTGGCAAACACGACGAAGCAAGGAACACGTGAGAGGCATTTAGCAGGCAATTCCCTTTATTGGCGATGGTATGCGTCGGTATACATGCATCGATACATACGCTTTACCAGAGCAGACTTGCACAAGGGACACTGCAGGCTGTGCGAGAGAGGGTGTCCCCAGCAAGGGTTTGGTTCGGTCCTGGGCCTCTGCCTCTTCTGATGATGATGATGACGACGACCACGATGATGCGCTTGCGATGCCCCTGCTGCTGCTGCTGCTGCTGCTGCTGCCGCCGCCGCTGCCGCTGCCGCTGCTGCTGCGGCTGTCGCTTATGTTGTTACTTTGCTAGGTTTTGCTGCCTCATCAACATCGTGATGACAAACAAACTCAAAAGATTCATGTGGAAGTCTCAACTGCTGTCCTCATTTGCCTGATACAGAGGGTACTTGAGGCTTTCTCGCCAGGTCTGTGGTACCTTAAGCATGCTCGTCGTCCTTGCGAAGAAGCAAAATATCGCACACCCAACGTTCCATGGCTTCATGGGCATCCGAACCTACGCACAGAGCCTACACACTTCCCTGCGGCACCTGAAGAGTACTCAGCTGGTCTCGCTTCATCTTCAACCTTCCGAAAGTCAAGGTCTTCATCCGCGGCACGCATCAGCATTTTAGATCCCAAAGGCATGGAAAAACGGGGGAGAGCATGAGGACCTGGCTTTCCCAACTAGCAACAGAAGAGATCAAGACCGATGACTCGTGACCGGAGACATGCGGAATGAACCCTGCCTGGCCAAAGTCTCCTTCTGCCGGGAGTCGAGGTCGTACCACTTGTCCACCACGAAGGGCACGTGCACACGGAAAACTTCAGGGTAGGGAAGTCAATGGAGGACAGGTCCGGACTGATCAAAAACGAACCCTAAATCCCGGCCTGCTGTCTTGGCTTTCTCGTCACTGATTTGGAGCTTCTCACGGATATGCTCCTGATCGCGTGCATGCTCGAACAGCCGCCGTACATACACAGATTCATCCATCCAGTCATGCATGCGAGCAGTTTTGCATTTTTGCCTCTACACAAACTAAACCTTGAGGAACCAACAGAACAGACATACACTTCTTGCACATGCAAACAAAACGAACAGATCTACATACATGCATATGCACACTAACAATGCCCCGCTAGACTATAGCGCTAGACTCGCTAGACTATAGCTTGGATGCTGCACTGTTGTGGTTCGAGGTAAAGCTTGTTGAGTATGTCTCAATGTACGAGGATATCTGCATAACATGTACGCATATGGAAGAAATCAGATTCGACGGTTTTACTTTTTGCGTAATACCAAACTCGGATCATTGGTGAACTGATGATCCGCCAATAGGCCCGGTTGAAGCAACTGCCCAGTGCAACTACAGCAAAAGAAATGGACAAGTGCACAGGCTGGATATCATCATCATGAACCAATGGCACAGCTTGTGCTGGTCAATCGGTCAGAGGCAGGCAGTGTTTCAAACCTTGTCCCTGATCGCTTCCTTCCCACCTTTGGCTATAGCTTCGTTGCGTGCGGTGGGCCAAAGGTGTTGCACGCCCCTGCACTCAATGTTACGAAGAACGACAGGTCCGGTCCTGCTGTTTGTTGAGCGAGATTGGCACATACCCCATGTTTGTTCACATGCACATGAATGTACACACACATGACGTGGAATACCCTGCTCACTTGATTCGCCTCCAACCTGTTGAGACCAAGCCTTTTCCTTGCGTGTATTGGAGGCAAACATCCAACAACCTACCGCTCCCAACCCAGCTGCACCTCAATCGCACGAGTGAGGGACTGCTCGACCATGTGAAACTCCTGTGCCGCAGGGACTGCATGAATTTTGAGCCTGGCCCACGCTGGGACCTTGCCTGATCGGTGAGCGAGAAGGGCCTTCCGGTCATATTGTCGCCCACCGGAAGGTGAGTCAACCAAACCGTACGGTCGAGAAGAGGCATCGTCCTTGGCAGGCGACGAGTGCAAGCGGCCCCCTTCCGCATCAGAGATGTTCCAGACACGATTCCGATTCCGGGGTCCTGGCCGAGGATGCATAGCTGACCGTACGCGCATGTGCACCTCAGTATACGTTTGCTGTTGTACCTCTGCCTACTTACCGAAATTCCAAAAACAACAATGGGCGAGCCATCGCCGCACTTGGGAAGGTCGCAGGTCCCCACTTGTGATTCTGGTGGGCACGGAGCAGACTATAACTTCTGGCTTAGGATAGCAAAGACACTCAGATGTTGAACAAGCAGGAGTTCGCGGCACTGCACCATGCAAACTGCAGTCACTGCAAACTCCGACAGAGATCACTTATGGGAGGAGGCCCCCCAACAAACACACATTAACACTCTAACAAAACATTCTGACACGGCCCACCCTTCCAGCGACAAAAATGAACAAAGACATGTGCTGCCCTGGCGAAATGCCCTCGGATCAGCTGCAAGCCAGCATTCCACTGTAAGCAGACACAACATGACACAACTGTCACCATGTCCACTCCGGCATGGCCCAAATGCCAAAGTATGCCAAAGTTAGCACGAGGCATCGTCGCTATCAGCGCTCGCATTTTTGGAACGGACGCCCTGCTGCTGTTAAGGGTACCCGTTGGGATTCGCTCGGGATCTGGAGTAGCATAGGCATCGCGTGAGAAGAGTAGAAGGCCACCGCTCAAGGCAACTGCACACTGTACATGGGCGATAAGCACCATAGACCCTCTCTTGGTAAACGCGTGAAACTGGGAAGCTTAACCTGCCAGGGAGCTATGCTCTAACGGTGACCTGGCGCCCATCCAGCTTGAATTGAAAGTTGGGAAAGCCAACCAGAGCAGAGCCAATGAACAAAGGGCTCTGATTCTGCGGCACCTTTGGTGCTGTCAGGGAGTGGAAGCTGGCCCACTTGCTGCGGTGATGATGGGCCTCTGGCTTCAAGTTGGTCGGGTACATGCCCCCAGCCAAAGGCCAGTCACTGCTGTTGGGGGAAAGCCGAGCACCCTTGAGGATCATGAACCAGATCTTGTTCACCTGCACAAAGCCGTGCACGGCTGCAGTGGCCGGCAGACCCCAGGATGTGTCAAATCTGGCCGTCGATTGCTCATCCGTGCGCGGTTGCTGCGGCAGCTCGTACTTTCGATGGAAGACATTGACAGCGAACTTGCTGTGAAGAAGGTCTGTCTCCGTCTCCAGGCGAGTGATGTATCCAGGCACGAAGTTCCGAATGTCTACCTCCACCTTGGACTCGTGCTCTGTCACATGCTGGATGAAGCCATCCAAAGTCTCGAGCCGACACCGTTCGGCCAATGAGGATCCTTTCTTCTTCGCTTCCTTTGGAGCTGCGGTAAGGATCTTGCTGAACAGCTGCTGCGCACTGGGGTATCCTGCGGCTTCACCTGAATGCCGGAGAGCTAGGTTCACCGTCTTCGCGTTGAGGTCGTTTTCGCAGGCAAGCGTGGAGACAGGCTCTCCAAAAAGCTGCATCCACTCGGCTTCCTTTGCTGCAAGCTTGCGCTGCTCGGCCTCAGACAGCTCCACGGGCTTTTCGACGAGGTCCTCTGGCGTGACCCTGACCTGGCAAACTTCCATCAAGGTTCCCTTTGCCCTATTCCGCGGCCAAACGGCCTCGTGGACCTCGCTCTCCTGGCCACTCCGTCGGACAATGAGCTTGAATGGAACATCCGCGGAATCGCGGTTGTTGAAGTTGTTGACCTTCATCACGAAGGTTCCAACTTGGTTGAGTGAGATATTCTCGGCCGGATTCTTCTCAACCTTTGAGGCGTTTGCATCAAAGTCTAGGCAGCAGCGCTCTACGTTCTTCTTTCCGTAGTAAAGCTGTGTGCCTTTAACCCAGGTGTGCAAGTCCAGGTCTGACTTATGAGGATTGCCATCCAGGCCCCAGACCAAAGTTACCGTGCAGAGTGACTTCACTTGCTTCTCCCGCAGCAACTCCGCCACACGTGAGACCATGTAGGTTTCTGGATTGCTTCGGTCGTCCATCATAGCCACAAGGCCCTCCAGGTTGGCCGCTGAGTCCATAAAGTCCACCAGATTGCTAGCCTGTTGCATGTCCAAGTGCACATTTCCATGGGACCGTCCTGTTAGCATCGCATAGATCATCACATGGAACTTTTCATGGAAAGCAAGCTTGTCCCAGCTCTTGCCGCGAGCTTCAGCAACGAAGTTCACCGCCCATTGGACAACAGCCCTCCAGTGGTCCGGGCGCACCAACCGGGGAAGAGCATCCTGCATGACTTTCAACGAAGCTGGGTCATCCACCAAGCGCTGGAATCGGTTGTCGAAGGAGCCGTTCAGGTAGAGCTTCAGATCTTTTAGCCTCTGGGATAATCCAGCATCCGAGAGCTGGTCGCAAGTGAAGTGCATGTGGCTGAAGGGTCCGACTTCGATGGGATACTCCTTGACAAAGTCCTCGTCAATCACAACGGCGGTAAGCTCAGATATGTTCTGGATCGTCTTCCAATGCTTCTGGCGCAACTGTCGGAGTGTCTGCACGTTTGGTTCCTTCACGTCGCTGCATGCCACGAATGATCCGCCGTCGCCCATAAACTGCGCGAACTTCGGCATGCGGTGGATGCAGGTGTTGCACCGTCCAGACAGGTTGGATGCACAAAGTTTGCTCTCTGCTTTTGGTAGGGCTTCCCGAGGCTGAAGGCAGAAGAACAACTTCTTGTTCTGCACCTCCACTGCGCAAGCCTTCATCGCAGTGCTCTTGATCTTTTGGTAAGCTTCCTGGCACGCGTCATCGATTTTGGGGACCTCCACGACTTCCCAACCCTCATCGCCAGAGCCAGCCATCCTACCTAAACGTGTCCGACGCTGATGATAAGCACTGGTGAAAGCTGAACTCTCGAGCCAAAGTACCAGGATTTAGCAACTACAGTTTTGGTTGCGCCGGTTTACTAGCCGCACAGAAGTCTCAGCTGCGGACCTTCATTCGTTGTGTAAAGATGAGGACCACCACACCGAACACCGTGGCGAGAAGGCCTCGGAATTTGCGAACAATTGCGAACAGTGCTGTCCGCTTGCCGCATGCATTCATGCAAAGATGTTACATTCATGAACTCCGTGTCTATCTATGAATGTATGCAGCGATGTGTCTCTCCGCATGTTTGTACATGTGAGTAATTAGATGTACACGCATGGTACATGCGCGCATCTAGACATCGAAGCATGTATGCCGCTTCCTTTTCGCATGCACACGCTGCGATTCCTGCGGACATGACGTGAGTCACGACTAAGGCTATATAATATATAAGGCATATTTAGCAGTGCAGATTCTATACTAGCTTGTTATATATTATGTACGAACCGAAGGCTCAAGTGCTGCCATGGCTAGGCCGCCGACAGAGCAAGCAGATACCCTCAGCACTAATGTCCTGCAATGCTGCAAAACCACTCTACAGCTAAGCGCAAAAAAACAACAACAGCACTAACCATCACCACAACAATAACACTAGCACTTGCACCTTACACTCACTACGTCAATGACAATAACAGTAGAACCTTAGAATAATCATTCATAATAATAGCAATAATGAAGATAAGAATAATACGAATAATGATAGCAATAGCACCAATAGCAATACTAATAACAATACTAATCTAACACTACTAACAATGGTATTGATGACAATATCATACTAACAATAGTACCAATAATAACATTAATAATAGTGTGCAATACTAATAACAATGATAACGACAACAAAAACAAGGAAAAATGATGATATTAATAGTAGTAATAAAAGTAAAAATAGTAATAATAGTAATAATAGTATTAATAATGATAATAAATAACAAAAATAATAGTCATATATATTGGGAAGCGGTATATTCTTTTATGTTTCTGACTGGTTGGTTTGGGAGCCCTGTGCTTCAGATCAGCAAATTCGGGTTAAGAAACCCGGCGGACCCTCAAGTCCGGAAACTTGCTGTTTGACTTCAGTGCAGACACACACGCGGCGCTGTCGCTACAGTAATGTTAGAAATAATACTAACAACAACAGTAACAAGAAAAGCAACAATAGATTCAATAGAGATAGTGGTAACAAGAGTATTAATAGTCATGTTGCTCCTTTGCCAGTGAGATCCGGCCCTGAGGACCGCCGAGCAGAAGGGGCTGCACCTTGCGACCAGCACTTACGGTTTATGGTTTAGGGTTTCGGGTTTATGGTTTAGGGCTGATGGTTTCGGGTTTAGGATGGTTTAGGGTCTCGGGTTCTGCTCGGTACGGCGAAGATGTGCAAAGTCAGCAGCTGCCATGCACGATGCTTCCGGTTGTCAAAGCTTACAGCACTGGAACTGGCAACAACATCAAGACAACCAGAGGCTGCGTGTCCCGAAAGTGCTTAGAATAGCGAGTGAACACAAACATGACTTCATCTGTCCATACATCCATCCATCGACCGTGCGTCCACGCATCCATCCATCCATCCATCCATCCAGTCATCCACTCATCCATCCAACGGTTCATCGATCTACACTTGCAGGCATTCATCCACTCATCCATTTTCACACACATTTGCCCATCCATCTATAGGATAGGAAGGCAGTGAACCCAAGAGTCCAAAAACCTTAACTCTAGAGCTGATTGCCCGGCAGCGGCTCCTTGGCGACCCCTTGGCCCCAGCACAACTAACTTGTGATTTCGATGGTCCTTGCACGGTCTACTCAAGTCTACTCCATGCCTGGGTGTGCTACCAGATGCATAGTTTTGATTTTGATGTGCGTGTGTGTGTACATGTGCATATACATATATATGTATATATACATATTGATACATATAGATATATACATGTGTATATATCCGGATATGATTGTTTCTCTTGCACACCCCCGACAAGAATTCAATCGGGATTTCATGCAGACTGGATTCTCTCCAAAGATGTCCAAATCAGTAAAAATGAAGAGTCATTTCAGAGAAAAACTGCCTCACAGGACTCGTTGTGCTTGCCAAAGCTGGCAAAGGCACTAAGATGACTCAGGTTTAGGGTTGACGGGTGGGCTGAGGGATGCAATGGGCGACCGTTTAGACGTCTTCTGTGCGTCACTAGCTTCAGTGGCATTCAATCCGAGAGGGTTGGAATTGAGATTAGATCGCACTAATTGCACTGAAAGCCCGAAAAGGTTTGTCGTTTCCAGGCCAACATGCGGCCAATGTCTTGGAATTTGCAAAACAAATCGCACTGACATAAAGCTTGCCCTGCCCGGCACACTTCAGTGTCATCCCAACCGCCTCTACGACAACAAAGACTTAATAAAACACTTTCTTGAAAATCCAACAAATAGAAGCTCCACGGTCAAGGAGGCACACCATCACCAACTGCAACCGCAAATCGCGTCAGACAAGAACGACGACGACAACGACGTGGACGAAGACCACGACCAAGCCCTACGTCCTCCACCCCATGAACACGAGTGAAACAATTGCTCTGAACAAAACTCGCTGAGCGCGGGACGCCCCAGTGAGGAATCACAAAAAAAGCAGAGACAACGGTCAGCGTCGTACACATCCTTGGCCGGGCACACAAGCGACAAAAGCAACTTTCGCCTGCTTGGGCATGCAAATCTTCTGAGATCTGCAGGGTGCAGAACTGGAACTTGCGAAACTTTCAGCTTCCGCACCTAAGCCCTCTTTCTGTCTTTGTTTGACCAGGCTACAAGTTGTCGTCTCTCTCTCTCTCTCGCCCTCTGTGTCTGTCGGTCTGTCTGTCCGTTAGAGGCTATCTGGGGTAGGTGCCCCCGCTCCTCGAAGATGCAGAGTCCTACATGTGCCCTCACCGAGGTGCAGCAGAGAAACTCCGCAGAAATGCGAAGAAATATCAGATAGTTGAGAGCCTAGGCAGTCAGAAACATTGCAGCCAACCTGTGTGTCAGCTACGCTTGGCAACAAAACAGGTCCAGCAAGCCTCCCAGATGCGCCCTGCTTCTTGGTTGGTGTGCTGAGAGGCATGTACCACAGAGGCCCTGACAGTGCCATGGAACCTCAGGTAGCAAGCCGTCCCTGACCCGATGAATATCTCAGCCCATGGGACTCACTGGGGGTGGCACGTAGGGCCGAGAAAGGCCGAGGAAAACTCAAAGGCATTTCGACTGGTGTACTCGCCGCAGTCATCGTTGGGCAGCAGCCTCCATGGAAATCGAAGGGGCTCGATGCTGTCAATCCGAAGCAGCGATGACACAAATGTATATGTACAGATGTACACATGACTGCAAGGACAGGTTTGTACATGTCATGTATGTATGGGTATACGCATATATGTATATAGGTGTGTATGTACATATGGACATACGTATCATGCATATATGTGTGTGTGTGTACATGTACACATGTATAGCTGTACAAATAAATGTATGTGTGCAGGTATTTTGTATATGTGTATATGCAACGATGCATCCATGCAAGTATCCGCATGTATCTATTTATGTATCTATGCACCTATGTATGTCTGTATCTATGCATCTAGGTACCTATGTACCTATGTATCTATGTACCTATCTAACCTATCTACCTATCTATCGATCTATCCATCTAGCTATCTATCTACCTAGCTTACTAACTATCTATCTACCTATGTACCTATCTATCTATTTATCTATCTATCTATCTATCTAACTATCTATCACTATCTTCTACCTATCTGTCTATCTATCTATCTACCTTCTCCATCTATCTGCCTTGTCTATCTATCTATCTATCTATCTGTCTATCATCCATCTAGCCATCTATCCATCTATCCATCTGTGTACGTAGGTAGGTAGGTAGGTAGGTAGGTAGGTAGGTAGGTAGGCAGGCAGGCAGGCAGGTAGGCAGGTAGGTAGGAAGGCAGGCAGGTAGGCAGGGAGGTAGGTAGGTAGGTAGGTAGGTAGGTAGGTCGGTCGGTCGGTCGGTCGGTCGGTCGATCGGTCGGTGGGTGGGTGGGTGGGTGGGTAGGTAGGTAGGTAGGTAGGTAGGTAGCTGGGTAGGTGGGTAGGTGGGTAGGGGGGTAGGGGGGTAGGTGGGTGGGTAGGGGGTAGGTGGGTGGGTAGGACGGTCGGTCTGTAGGTAAGTAGGTAGGACACTTCATTGGGGTGGAGTGCTGCAGCCAGAACTCCGTGCCAGGATAGGACAGGCTTGGCAGGCTTTCCGCAAGCAAGGACGGCAGGTCTTTGGGCCACCAATTGTCACCCACAGAGAAAAGTCTCTGAGCTCTCGATCATTAGTCGAGTCCACCCTGTGTTCTTTGGCGCAGGAACTTGGGTATGGGAGAAGGGAGCAGACCTCGACCAGGTGCGCGGCACTTTGCTTGCTATGGCCAGGCAAATGCTGCCCCCCCACGTACGATCGGGAAGGTTCCTTTCACCTTGAAGCTGCCATGGTCCTAGCAGTTGCACGCCTGCCCTCAGTAGACGTTCGCAGTGGCTTGAACTCGCCAGAAGCTCCGAGACCTGGTTCGACGATCTGCTGAGGCTGTCCCGTCCGCCGCAGGCTGCTTTGGGCAGCTGGCAGGAGACACTTCAGGTTATGATTGATTCCCCACTATGCTGGAAACGGTGGATCTGAAGGGCAGTCTGCACTGCCTTGCTCCGAGATTTGTGGCTTGCTGAGATTTTCACGGTCTGCTTCTTCGTCTGTTGCTCTCCAAAGGCGCGTGCCTCGCTGATGATCTCGTTAGCAGACGTGCTAGCAAGGAGGTGTGTGTGTCTGTGTGTGTGTGTGTGTGTGTGGGTGCGTGCGTGCGTGCGTGCGTGCGTGCGTGCGTGCGTGCGTGCGTGCGTGCGAGCGTGCGTGCGTGCGTGCGTGCGTGCGTGCGTGC